TTCTTTGTTACCGAAAGAACCCAGTTAAATGCAGCGCATGCGTAGTAAGTCAAAAAATTGCGATTGAATGAAAATTGCACTCTCGGAAATACACCTATTACTCAAAAACCACTCATTAGAATTTCACGAAATTTGGCACAAAAATACTTAAGGAAATAAGTAACTAGAGTATTGAAAATAATTGAACTTTAACAAAGGAAATTCTAGATATTCCAGTGAACCTTCAAGAAGGGATAATTAAAGATCTCTCTGTTAAATTATTAGCAAAATGGTGTTAACTTGTGAGAATCGTTACAAGCTTGTTACATGCAAATTATAAAGAAAATATAATGACTAGATTTTCTATAAATAAACAAAACCGATTTTAAAGGCCTGTTTATATTTATTCATGTTGCCATGGCAACGGCACATACGTCAGCCTAACCATCAAAAAACCAAAGTTTGTGTTGTTAACTTGTTTGCTGCCATTTTTGGCGACCGAGGGATCAATGGTTTTAAAGAAAAAGGTGAATGAACACAGGTATCAAAAACTGTGTTCAGCCACCTTCATTTGAATCCACATCGCGAGGTTTTAGGAACCGTATTTCTCGGCCTTGACTGAGTCCGTTTGGACTTAAGGAACTTCTAGACAGGTGTAGATCTGTTTGGTCTACCTGTAGTTTCTTTTTGTATAAAACTACTGCGTCAAATTGTTGTGTGATGGCTGTGACGTTAGACTCGAGAACTGGTTTAGCAATTGTCTGCTAGATTGGAATCTAGAGTTGGGTGAACACAAACAATAGCAGCACCGGGCATTGATGACGTCACGAACATGTAGCCTTCGCTGTATGTCAGACAACTAAACCATTTCATTTGCTATTTCTGTGTATCCATGGCGATGGAATCTATTTTAAGTGGTAGTGTGCCACAGGAATCGACAGATTTATCAGCTGTCAACATTTACATTTGCGCATATATAATTAACACTTTTTGCAGATCGTATGAATTGAGTTATTACGTAATACCGAGAGTTACTTCCTAAGTTAGTATTAGTACTATTGTAATTTGATACAATTTGCTGATGTTTTTGAAACAGAGGGATTAAAATGAATACATAAATAAGAGAGAGCTCGAGTCGCTAGTAAATAAACGGCCCACGACAGTAGATGTGTTGGAGTCATTTTCGTGTCACCTGCTGTACAGTTGTCTTGAGGAAGAGACTTATTATGTTATTTTTGAAACGTTCTAACCCTTACGAGAGTTACTAACAAGCTAAAAAAGTACTTACCTAGACTTCGAATAAGTTTTCACAGTCCGCCAGCGTTAATTTCAACCTTCTATGAACACTGAAATTAATTTGAATCGCGTTTTACATCGCGAGATTTTAGGAATCGTATTTCTCGGCCTTATTGAATTGAGTCCTCTTGCATTTACAAAACGAGTTTGAACATTAACTCAGGAGGCCCGTTTGATCTACTGGTAGTTTATTTTTGTGTTAAACTACTGCATCAAATTGTTGTGTGATGGCTGTGACGTCAACTCGTTAGACTTTTGCCGAGAACTAGTTTGGCAATTGTCTGTTCAACGGTTTCTGTCAGAACCCGTTTAAAGGCCCGGAATGTTATCTGTGCAGAAATGACTGACCCGGAAATCAGTGCTACTTTTGGTAGAAAAATGCCCTCTATCCAACCTCATAATGCTGGCTTCCTCGGATCTTTCTCAAGTTAACAAAGTCTCTTTTATCGTCATTTGACGATGTAACCCTTAATTGCGACGAAGTAAATGCGAGTGAAATGTTACTTGTAATCTAGAGCAAATGAAATTGGATCACGTCTGCTTAAGACGTGGTTACACGCATATAAACTGTTGATGGACACGCATTTCCCTCACCTCTGAATCAGTTATAAACGTCTAAAGCAAGCTACCATAAAGATGAATGACCAACAGAAAATCTCACCAAATAAGACGTGAAATTCATCTGCGTCAAATTGAAAAACATGCCGTTTGCTTTGCCTTGTAACATTCCACTCGATACACTGAATACTTAGCACAGTAACAAGATCTTGCAGAGCCGTTATCAATTTTTTCATAGCAGGGTGAACTATTTGAATGATAAAATATTAATAACAACTTATAAAGCCGACTTGATTAGAGACTCATTAGAGAGGAATCTTGATTTAGATGAGCAGAAACAATAGCACCGGGCACTAATGACGTCACGAAAATTTGACCCCCGAAATATTTCTGTGCGTCTTGTGGTGATGAAATCTATTTTTAGTAATAGTGCGCAGCACCATTTGACAGACTTATAATCAACACTTATCGGATCGTATGGATTGACTTATTAATACCAAGGGTTATTTTTGCCATGCGAGCACTAGCCTTAAGCTAGCAACATCATCAATTTAAAACTTCTTTGAATCTTGAAATTAATTTGAATCGTCCTTTCACATGTACATCGCGAGGTTTTACGAGGCGTATTTCTCTGCCTTCACTGCGTATATCCGCGGGTATACTTGTAATCTCTGAGTCAAATTGTTGCTTGAGGGCTCTGACGTCACTGAACTCGTTAGCCTTTTCAGCACTGGTTTAGCAATTGTGCACTCACGGGTTTTCGTCTGACTCGCTGAAAAGGGATATTATTGTAAGGCGGTAATTTCTTTTGCAAAAAACTATCGAGTCAAATTGTTGCTTCAGGGCTGTGACGTCAACTCGTTAGTCTTTTGAGAACTGGTTTAGCAATTGTCTACTCAAGGATTTCCGTCTGCGTCGTTTGAAAGAGAAGTTGTTAGTTGCAGAATGTCTAACCTAGAAATCAGGGTAGTATTTTGTACAAAAAATACCCCAATCGTCTGATCCAACCTCGGAATCCAAGGTTTTCTTAAGTCAACAAAGTTTAAGTATTATGTTGATGGTCATTTGACGATGCATCGCCAAATGACGACGAAATTAATGCGAGTAAAATGATGTTTGTACTGAACAAAAGAAATAGGTTAATTCTCGTTTGTGCATAAGGCCATGAAATCATTAAGATGTGGTTGCACGCATTTGAAGTGACCATGGTCATCCATTTCTCTGGCCACTAAATAAGTAAGAGTTCTAAAAGAAGCTCCCTTAAAAATGTACATATTCATGATCTATTCTCACCAACTTAGTGTAGGAAGCTAAATTCATCTTTCTTGTTGTATGTCACAATTCCAAACCTTGCTTCCTCGGTAACAGGGCAATATCGGTGCAAAAGGCCCGCAACAGGAGAACGTCGTGCAGACACGCTGCACTCGGAGCCAAGTTAATTTCATTGAAGCTTTGTAAATTATGTTGAATTTTACAGTGATGAAATCAAAAAATTGCCTGTCAGTAACAATTTAGTAATAAATTAAAGCCGGCTTGATTAGAAGGGAAACTTGATTAGATAAGCTCGTCATTTTAAGCCTAAAAACAAATCGATCTGTGTTTTAATATTAATTTGTGCCTAGAGGCCCAGTTTGAGTTTTCAAAACTTAGTGAACCTTATACTTAAATATAAGTTAAATGATGGCGAGATCACATGTTTGATAAATTCACAATTAACATTTGCTTTCTTTCTTATAACGGCTGTCATAAACATCTCGGATCTGATCGGACCGAGAGCTTACCGCTTACTCGTCCAAATACTTAAGTAAATAACACCTCGGTCTTTCAAAAGACATCAAAACACAGTGTTATATAAACTTCACACGTAAAGGCTTTGTAATATTTCAGCTCATGCTCAGTCAACTAATTCATACCTGATGGTGTATTTTGCGGATGGCATTTTTAGGTGTTCCAATATGCTTCTTGTGCGTGTTGCTATTGGCGTCCGGCGTGTGATTATCGACGGCCTCCGAAGCGTCGGAATGCAGACTTATTTGACTAAACTTTCTTAAGCTTATGTTTGATCCACGCTCCATCTGCGGGCTTGATGGGGGTTGAATCGAGTTTAAGGGGATATCTTTTTCTTTGCATTTGTCGAGTTTTGATAAAGACCCTGTAGACGCTTGCAAGTACGAAGTGGGTCGCTTTTTTAACGTCTGTTTTTGGTACATATTTCCCGGAGAAGCCGCCATAGTTGATTTACTGTTAACACTTTCCTGAAACTCTATTGAACACCAAGAAAAGACTGCTTTCGTCACGCCGCTTGAGCCGTTTCTAAGGAACCCAGTTATTTCTTTTTATTAAAAGGTGTTGCGAAAGCAGTTTGTAAATAACTTAGGATAGCCGAGAGTACTTAAACAGCACTTTATTGACATCAGTGCAGTATCGTGTAAATATAAAGCTCGTTTAATTAGACTTCATCCCAGTGACGTAAGTCTGTTTACAGTAACTGATAATAAATTCTTTTCATCTGATTCTAATGTGTATTTGAATTATAACAACTTTGTAACTCAGAAAAGTTCTGCATAGAAGGAAATTTACGAACGTTAAGAAATTTCTTATAGTTCTTAATTTCAGTTAAGGGTTGACGCCTTGCCGGTTTCGGTGATTTCATTTGTCGGTCACTCCACCAGTACTTTATAAAATCACGAGTGTACATCGATGTCGGAGTACAGAGAAGACATCATATTTACACTTAATTCGAAAATCAAATGAAGTGCTTCAGTCACGGGATACTCACGGAATTCAATGACTAAAGAATGACTTAAGTTAAAACAATTGTGCGTGCAGGTAATTAAGCGCAAGATATTTTAAGTGTTTTGTTTCTCATCACTGCTCGCTCATTTCTTTCGGTGAAGGTGAAGGTTCTTGACAATGCAGTGACATTGTGAGGAGCAGAATAGAGGTCAGTTAATTAGTGGGATGTTGATGTCTCAAAAAGCTGTGTACCATTAGTGAAAATTTGCATGACAGAAGCGGTGGGCTGTTTTGTATTTCACGAACTTCAAAGCAAAAGTCACAGAAAACTTAAATAAACTCGGTTACAGCACACAACTAGCTGTACAAGTACAGTTACAGGTAGAGGCAACGTTTGCTATAAGCAATAACTAATGAGATAAAATTTCTTCCGGCTAACAGCAACGAGCCAGACTCTGTCTCTTGCTTAATTGTTGCTTATGAATATTTTGAACCAAGGTAAGGATTATTTAAACAGAGACTAAAGTCTGAGACAAACCGCCGAAATATGTAGAAAGAAGCAGTTGCAATTTGCTTTCGATCGGTTCCATCTAGGACCCATGACATTTGTCGATCACTGCCGATATAGAAAGTTATGTTAACTTCGCCAAAATTATTTCACTAATTAAAGTCGAATCGGCTCCTGTCAGTGACGTCAAAAGGGTTCTCCTTTAGTCACGTCACAGCGTGACACAATACCTGTCACGCTGTTTTCGCACGTGGTCCGCAAAGACAAAAGAAAACTCGGGATTTATACCACGACTAGTCTTATCGCTTATCACGAAACCTTGTTTAGCATAGCTGTTCCTCTTGTGAACATTGAGTTGAAATATCATGTCAGACAATTGTGATACATGTAACTGAAAATCAAGAAGTGTTATGTGTATAGCAATCTACAATTGATTTTATCTGGCTTTCCAGCAGACGTGGGGAATTAGCTCAAATGGGAGAGCGCTCGCTTAGCATGCGAGAGGTACCGGGATCGATACCCGGATTCTCCAAAACTCTTTTTTTGTTTTTTGTTTTTTTCCTTTTCTTTTCTTTTCTTTTCTTTTCTTGTCTTGTCTTTTCTTTTTTCTTTTTTATTTCGCCTCTCCTCACCTTAGTGCATTTCCAAAAACTAAAGTTCTTTTATCAACAGCTATTAATTTAATTTAAATTTGTCACAGCAATATTAGTACATTTTATCATGGTTCAACGGCTTGACCCCCTGAAATTCAGTAAACTCGTCAAGTTTTCGTGCCTTCTTCCACATCCCAACCACCAAATTGATCGGCGAGTCCGTCATAAAATCACTCTTCCTCCGTGTTATATGAGCTTACCGTAAACTAACGATCACCCCGAAAAAAGTGACCCCCGACGCCCGAAAGTAACAACCCTCCCGAACCTTCCGATTGTTCAGATCACGCAATCGCTGGGCAGATAAAAAGCATAAATGGCGGCAAACAGGATGCAACTACAGTGGGCCATGTGCCTGATAGATGATGACTCAAGAAAGAACCCCGAGAGGAACTTGAGCAATTTAAACCATAGTACAACTGAGAAGACGGTTTACACATGAAGAGAAATGACGAATTTTATCTTGTTTTTGAGCAAATGTTTTGTTACGAAGTTCCATCTTTTATTTCGGATAAAGAGTGCACTCGCATCAACGTCAAATGACTTTCCTCTCGGAAAGTAATGACCCCCAAAAGTACAGTGCGTTGATTACATATCAGGATGTCCAGGTTAGGGACAGGTCAGAGCATTTTTTTTTTGACTCCTTCTCACGTAGTTCCAGTCTATAAAAATTAACAAAAAAAATGCCCTGTCTCAACAGTGCAAAAAAATTATTGTGTGAGTATATAGGAACTGTAAAATCTTCAGCCAGTGATCGCAGTGAGTGTAACTGAAGTTATTTATCGTCTAACTCCCGGCCAAGTCAATCGAACCCAATCGAACTCAATCGAACTAAATCGAGCTCAACCCATGGATTACGGTTCGATTGAGTTCGGCAATCGAACCAAATCGAACTCACACAGAAATAGCCGGACAATCGAACTAAATCGAACTATTGATTTCTGATCTCTTGATTTTTTGTAAAACTGGTGTGGAAAATCAATAACAAGTGTTTTCAAGGCTCGAGTTACCTCAGTATAACAAGCGTTTTTCGTGTTTTCGAGACCACACAACATAATCTTTGTTCATGCGAATTTATTCACCGAACAACTGGACGCAATCATATCCATTGAATTGTGTTCGATTGAGTTCGGCTGTCGAACCCAATCGAACACAATCTAATGGAATTAGTTTGGTTCGGTTTGATTTGTTCGATTGAATTCGATTGGTTCGGAAGTAGAACTCACACAAAGTTTAGTATTCGACAAAATTCGGTGTTCGGTTTGGTTCGATTGCCGAACTCAATCGAACTCAATCCACAGATTAAGTTCGATTGGGTTCGATTGAGTTCGATTTCCGAACGTTCGATTGACTATGCCTGGCTAATTGCCGAGTGCGTACTCGGCACTAGTACAGCGAAATTGTATCTAGCTCCAGCAGAAGCTAACCTATTGCGACAATCAGCAATTGCATACATATAGTCCAGTAATCCTTTGTCAGCGGACGTGCGATCGGCGTCGGCTAATAACACAAGTTTTAACCTTGAAAGTTTGCAAGCGCTTGAAGCCCGACCAAGCCACAAGCAGCCCAGGCTCTAGCTGTGAGAGATGATCATCGGGATAAGGTAGTGAGGCGGTCATAGCAAAATTCAGTAAGACTTTGTATAGAAATACTTTTAAAATTTACGATCAATTTCAGGAGGTAGAGATGCCAGAAACCTATTCATAAAAAGGCCTTATTTCACTTTCACAGTGTATTGCTTGATGCCTGTTCGCTTCTTCTGCTAATTGGAAGCGAGTTTAAGCAAAATAGAAAGCAATAACTCGCTAAAAAAAAAAAAAAAAAAAAAAAAACAGAATGTCTTGGACCGCCCTTACGGGCTAAAAAAAATATAAATAAACCCGGGCGGGAAAGAAATTTTCAGCGAACTGGTGTATCATGTAGGCTTGGTTACTGTCTAGTGGCATAGATACTGTTTATGGACAGTCAGGAATGTAAACTAAACTTGACGTTAAAATAAAGCTAAAAAATTATAGAAGGTTTATGACCGATGTAACGCCATTCTCAGGCTTCCACTAATCACATGTAGTTGTCCTTCTCAAAACAACTGTGATTGCATGGAATAACAAA